GTACTGACAACACCACCTACCCCAAACCCTACAATCCATAAATATAAATAGTAATGATTATAAATCATTGCTCTTTTTTTTTTTTTTTTTGTATCCCCCCCCCCCCCCCCCCCCCCCCCCCCCACACACACACACACCCCTGCTCTCTGCCTCATGTCGCCCCTGATTCTTCACTTCCTGTCTTCCTAATAGCCATCTCCGTCCCTCTGGAGCTCTGATTGAACGTATGATTGCATGCATAATTCAGTATGTGACAGAGCAGTGGTGTCAGTGTCTTAGCTCCTACATTTAAAATGTTGAAATTTACAAATACATTCATACAGAAAGCTACAACAATTATTTATAATCATTACTATTTATATTTATGGTTTGTTTATTTGCAAGCCTATGAACAAAAACTCCAGTGATACAGTACTCGCTTAGAATCCCCAGTTAACTTGTATATTTTTGGACCACTGCAACAAACTAAAGAATGAATTTGCATGCTGGTACAGGAAAAAACATATGGGAAAAACCTGAGCTAAAATATAACCAGAAATTGTCTCACTAAGAGGACTCTTCTTAAAAAAAACGCCTACATGGCTATGCCTTAAAAATATTATTTAGATTTCGTGGAGTGGGGTTCTGTGAAAAGATTATGACCAATTTATATCTTACAACATCTGTTGTAGATATGTAGATAGTAATGTTGCTTTTTAAAAATTTAGAAATTTAGAGAAACAGATTTTTTTACCTGAGTTATGTACTATGGGCTAGTCTGATTCAGGCTGAAACTAAAGTGGATCACTGGTGTCTTTAAGCCACTCCAATCTAAAAACAACAATCTAGCAGTTTATGCAAATTCCATTTTTATAAGCCTTTACATCACTCTCAGTTTTGAATAGTATTGTTATTTACGTGAAATTCAGTGTTTATTTACAAGCAACAGTTAGCTGTAGCAGTCTAAGTGCAGCCTGGGATACTAACAGTTGGAATATCATAATGTTTGCTGGAATACGTATACAAATCAGAACTGACATTGATGTAAACATGTATAAAATAGAGTCTATAAACCACAATTAGGATTTTGAGAATAAAGTTGGTTTAAGATGGCAGCCATGCAATTTGTCTCGGATTGCTTGGACAAGCTATTAGCTCATCAATCCAGTTAGAATTAAACTCTTTCTCTACACTGAGGCTGGTCAAAAAGATATGTGCAACCTGTAAGACAATGATTGTTCACGTTTCCACATAACTTCACTTCAAACGAACTAGACTCTTTAATGTTACTAAAGTTGCAATTAAATAATAAACTAGATTCTGTGCATTTGACTTAAACAAAGGCCCACGGTGATTATCTGATAATCTGACTGAATATTTTTTACTCCTTCATGTGTGATTTGCAACTATGCCACATCAGGAACTATACCGTGTAAATAGGAAGACATGCACAAACACAAATTTACACCAGACAAACAGCATGATTAGGAAATTAATATAACTATTTATCGCTGGCTTCTTTAAAACAAAAAGGGAAATGACTTTAAATACCAAGTGGATATTTATTGATCCTAGCAATGCATCATAATGTCACAACAGTCATTTAAAAACGTAACATATAAGATGAGAAAAGCACTGCACATCTGCAATAATGATTGAATATGGACTTTATGGACATTAGGCTGATGTTTTTTAGTCTTGCTCAGGTGTTTGGGACTTCCTGTTTTCAGCTCGCCCCCTCAGCATCCACTTTTCTTCTCTGGAATTTATGGTGCCCTGGTTTCCCCTTTCGCCTGGAGATCGTATGTCTCTGACCATTTCCGCTGTCAGCTCAATAGACACGATTGCCCTGCAGTTTGACCTGAAGTCTCTATTCTCTTTGGTGAATGTATTAGTTTAAAATGTGGCTGACATCTCACACATCATCAGGAATACGGCAGCAGCCGAGTCAATATGTATAAAATTATCTGCGTTGAACAAGCCGACAGTCTCCTAATTGGATATCAAAAAGCAGTGCTGCCTTTGGACATTCATGTTAGTTACATCTCTAGGTGCTGCAGCAGAGCAGACATAAATGTATAGGTGTTATCCATCTGTAGTTGAGGTAAAGAAGAGATACAAACAGTCTGGGTGTGTGAGTGTCTTGGCGTTTTGAGAAAATTGAATTGACTTTGAAACCATTTGCTCTCTGACACCTGGAAGAACACACATGAGGGTTAAATTCATTCACAGTGCCTTCCTCTGCAGGAGCGCAGGCTTGCCTGCTGATCGACCTGATTGGCTGTTGTGTCCTTGGGAACAGAAGACTGCGAGGATTGATTTTTGCCAGCACGCTGCTCTTATTATAGTTTTTTCTTACGCCTGTTTGTCTGTCAGGCGGCCTTGCTGGAGGATGTGTTCGGACAGTGTAAATTATTCTCCTCGATGCATTTTTATGAATCTGTGGCTTTTACCCCGTCATGTAATTATAGGTGAGATTTACTCAAGCGAAGGATTATTATGGATTAGTGATATGTCAGACTTAACTGTAGCATTTTAGAATGCAGACATTTGTCTCACTTGCTATAGAAGCCACAGCTTTTTTCCAAATCCTTCATCACATCTTGAATAATCAAAAATAGATATGTTAATAAGGTAAAAGTGTGCATATTCACGTGTACTCTCGAGGCAGTAGACTGTTGATTTTAGTTGCTGTAGCATAAAGTGGATGCAGCAAGCATCAGCAGATTTGTGTGTAGTGGGAAGGCGAGCTTTGATTCCTCCATTAAACAGACAGAAACTGCTGCGCTTGTTAAAGTGAGAAAACAGGCTGATCAATCCCTGTATTGTTTATTGGAGAAGGGACTTTAAATGATCAGGGTATAAAAGCTATATATTTTTAGTTTTACTTATATATTTGATTTTCAATAATAGTAACATGAGCAACAATTTTAAAAATTTTAATGTCTGTTAGTGAGATTTCTTCAAATGTATTAAGGTTGGGTTGATTTTTGTAAATTAAACATTTTTATGCCAACTTTTCTTCTTATGCAGACATGATCAGGTGTGGTCAACTGAACCTCAAAAACATTTAGTGTCCCGCTTTCCAGTAAACAAGATGAAACCTGATAGCTCCTTGATCTGCTCCTGGTTCATTACCCATCAATCCTGCTTCATAGCTGCTCTTTTGTTCCACTCTCTGCTAAGCTCTGTTTCTTTCTGACCAGGACAATGGTGAGAAAAACAGAAATAATAAGATTTGTTTAAAAGAAAACAGCTGGATTCAATACCAGTTTTCACTATTTTCTAATCTTATAACGCAAACAAGTTTTGCGGAGTAAAATTAGCTTCAAAATTAGGTTTTCATGTAAGATGCATTTTTTATTTTATTTTATTATTATTATTGCAGGATATTCTTCACATATTACCAGAAATGGGTTCTATAGAGATGAAAATATTTATTTTATAGGGGGAAATAAGTCCCTCATCAATGTTTAAAAATTATTATTTTTAAGTATGTCAAACCAGTAAAATTGCAGTTTTTCACTCAGTCTTTTTTTAATTTATTTTTGGTCCTGCCAGATCTCTTTATTATTTTTGACCCAATTCATCGTTTTGCTTTGTTAGAGTTTATTAATTTAAATTGATATACTTTTAGGGATAAGGAAAAGTGATTATAATATTTATCCAAGCCTATTTCTAATAGAAACAGTTGTCCATAAAACTATTTTTCTCTATGAATTATAAAGCTTGATAAATCTGTTGACACTCAAAGGTACGCCTGGATTTTGTGTTATGTTCACTCACAGTCATGGATTCACACAGTGTGGACCACTTTGTTGTTTTTGTGTGTTTCACAAATGTCCTCTGTGCAATTAAAGCACACGAGTCTGCCATCCTTCTGGCTTCTTCTAATCTTTTTTCATCTTTCAAACACACTCGTCTTTGTTTTTTCTCCCTTTGTTGTCAGAACAAAACAAAAAAAAGCTTTAATGAGCACAGCTAGTATCACAACTCTGCCAAGGGTGTGAAAATGAAAATTGCTTCTAATTTTGTAATATGTGCCCATAAGCAGATTTCACTTTCCCTCTCTCAGGATTCCCTTATTTTGGAGAAGAATGACATACACCACCCAGTCTGCTCCTTCCAGGATGACTTCCAAGAGTTTGAGATGATTGACGATGATGATGATGATGAAGAGGAGGAGGTCGACCCTGATGCACCTCCATCTCCTTCAGCTTCCCCTCCTCTTTCTCCAACTCTTGGCACCCTGAAGAGCAGACCCACCACGCTGAACCTCACCACTGCTGTGTCACAGGTAAATAAACTGAGGCTCAGATGCTAATCATGACGCAAACACCAAACATACCTAGTTTTTTACAATCGTCACCTAATGTTTGCAATATTGTGGTTATTTAATTAGGATTCTTTGAACAACAACAGCAGCCTATCTCCAAAAAAAGGAAGCTGGCAGGATTCTTTACGCAATCCAGCTTCACAAGGTGTGAACATCATAACATATCAATAAATTTCCCATGAATTGTCACTTCTCATTCATTCATGTTTGCAATAAGTTTTCCGTTCATTGCGCATGAAATAATACTCAAGACATAGCTATTTGTGAACATAATTGTCTTTACATACAGTTAGAAAATAAGTATCTGTTGTACTCGCAGGTCGTCTGTCTCCAACACACTCGTGTCTAGTGGATGGTAGTCATGTGACAGGCCAGTGCCCGGCCTCCCCAGTTTTCCAGGCTCCAGGGTCGCAGAGCAAAAGTACTCCATCAAAACAGGCAGGGGAGGGCGGGAACCCCCAGTCTCCTCATCGACCCCTCCTCTGTGACATGGAGGGCAACAGGCGGGAGAGGCCTGAATACGGTAACAAGGATGGCCGCCCTTGAAAGCTTAAATTTCATTGCATTCACATCACATCAGCATGATACAGTAATTGTGAAATGAGGATGTTGATTAGACTTTAGTGAGAAATTATGTTGTATACATTTGATTCTTTCAAAATTCACAGCTTATAAGTAAGTTACAACTTTGTGCATCTAAATTATTTACTAAGGAGGAATCCTGTTTCACTCATTCACCCTACCATTTAGTACTAAACTACCCTACGTTTGTCTGTTCATGTAAAACATACAGCTGTCCCAATTGTTTTGTAATGTTGAGTGATTCGAGCTGATATCCTTTATGAGTTCAAATCAAGTGTCACTAAAGGAAAAATCATATGTAAGGGTAGAGGTCACACTAGGAAATGGGTTTCAGTCTAAATTAGAGTTGCATTCGGGCTTAAAAAATCAGATCCGATCCAGCTCCAGCCCGTAGCCATCATTTCCGAAGCCCACCCGACCCGACAAATTAACAGTAATTACAGGTCAGAACCCAACCCACCCCAGACATTTTCACTTAAGCTTTGACTGCTTATATATTTATTAATGGTCAGCAGACGCGCGCGGCTGAATAAAAGGGACAGAAGATCAGAGCTGAGGAGGTGTTTGTTCTTTCATGGCCATCAAAGCGCATTAAAACCCTGATTCTGCCTGCATTCTGCATTATTCAGACATGGACCCTGCTCTGACATGTCTGCTTTGGGATCTCACCTGTTTGGGTTGTCGGCCGTGCGTGTCCGCTGAGTGCAGCGGCTGAATGTCCATTTGGGTGATAGATCACTTCCTGGCAGTAGCCTACTGGTACTCCCATCTGAAGCTTAACAGAACTTATTTTTACCTCTTTCAAGGCCAGTCAGCTCGAGGTGAAATGGCAGTGTGCGGCTGGTGATTGTATGGCAAGCCATGTTGCCATATAATTGGATCGTAGCTGATCCACTGACGCAATCAAGAGCCTGACACCCACCCAGCCCGCCTATCCAGCACATTATCATGGCCCTGCCCAGCCCAAATTCGGGTTGGGCTGGGCTTTGGGCCCGGGTTAGAAATGACAGCTCTAGTCTAAATGCCCTCAACTCCCTAGATATATTTCCCCATGCCTCCTTCTTGTCATCATCTACTTTATAATAACAATGTTCTGTGTACACAACAATCAATCTTGTAAATCTTCTAAGCTCAACTTTCTTTCTTCACTGTTTTTATGTTCACAGGCTCATTTGGTCACCACAGATCTCACTCAGGCTCCACTGATTTTACTGACCCGAAGGTAGACCCTTCAGTCCAGACAGCCAGAGCATCCTCCATAGACGAGCACTCCCAGTGTTCTGACACAGAGGTGGATCATGATCTCAACAGTGACCACAATCACAAACACTCAAACCGCCGCCTCACAGATACCTACACAATCACCAGCGAGTCAGGAATGGAGCAAGAAAATGATCTTGACCTGGATGGAACCAGTCGTTGTTTATCATCCACAGCACCCATAGGAGCTAATGATGGTGCTGATACACCCTTATCTGACGAAGAGTTGGAAAAGGACTTTGAAGTGGAGTTTATGTGTAAGGAGACCTATGATATGGTGTGCAAGGAAAATCCGTTGTCATATGTGGAATTCCCCTCCATTGAACACCATGAGCCTGCATCGTTCTCCAGCTATCAGTCATCAAGCCGCTCAGAAGCTCTCGGGCAATCCAACAGTTCAGAAGCTCTATCAGTTTCTGCCACAGTTGCAGCAGCTAATGATTCCACCTCTCCATCCTCAGATCCAGGGATAGCAGATATGAACCAACAGGGTTATATTACCTCAGATCAGGACAAGGACCTCAGCTCTTCAGGCTCTGATTCTGATGTTGAAGGGGAGCTGGAGGCAGCATTTGCTTGTGGAGGACCTGTGGTCTCAAACATGATTTCCTCTATTTCAGAGACAGAGTTAGATCTGACAAGTGACGAGAGCAGCAGTGGACGATCGTCTCATCTCACCAACTCTATTGAGGAGGCCAGCTCGCCTACATCAGACCAGGAACTGGACCCAGATACAGAGTTAGAGCAGGACAGTGGAATAGTTGGATTGAAAGCCTCACTCTTCCTGGGTCAGCCTGATCCAATCAAAGAAGGTTCTTTTGTACTCTCTCCTTCTCCTCTACCCTCACCCACTATTGCAACTCCCTCCCCTGTTGACTCACCCATCTTACTCCCTGAGTCCTATGATGATGATCAAGCACTGATGGGGATGCAGAGTGTGGATGACGAGCTGTCTTGTGAGCACCATGCTGATCCAGATGAAACTCTGCCTCCAACCCAATGTAGTGAGGACTGTTTGTCCAGACCAATGGTGCTTGAGATTGAACCAGACCATGGTCTAGAGAGCTTTAAGCGCTCCTTCTACCTGCCAGTGGGGCCCAGGCTAATGCCAAGTCAAGATGATTATGATGAAACAAGTGAGGGAGACTCTGAATCAGAAAGTGAAGATGACCTGAGTGAGAACTCTGATTCTCCCTGGCTACTTAGTAACTTAGTCAACCGGATGATCTCAGAGGGCTCATATCCCATCAGCTGCCCCGAGGAGTGTTTCAAGAGAAAAGCGTCTGTGTCTGATACCATCTCACCATCTTCAGATATTGGGGAGGGAGATAGTTTCAATGATGAGGCCCAGGAATCAAAAGCAGATATGGAGGAATCACGGAAAAGGGACAAGGAAGGTGAAGGATACCGAAAGGAGAAAAAAGAGCCAGCGAGAAGCCAGAATGATGAGTTCTTAAATGGAGGGGCAGTGATAAGTTCCCAATTCTATATGAGCAACACCACTGGTGATGCCATTTCCCCACTGATTTTAGAATGCTGTGGAAAGAATGAGAGAGAAACCATAGATTTAAGTCCTGCGTACACCACGAAAGGCTGTGACAAGAACTCCACTGATCAACCATCTAAGAATGTTTGGAAACAGGAGGATGAAGAGCCCAACAATGACTTGATGATGCTGGAGGGCAGAAAGGATTTGGACTCACCCAGCCTTAGTGAGAGTGTGATCAGCGACAAGGATGAAGGTCGAGAAACAGAGCCCAGGCCAACAAGTCGTTCAGCAGCCTCTCTTGAGCGCATCACCGAGGTCAAACACAGCCTGACGTTGGACATACCTTCTGCTCAAACCAACCGCTGCTTTAGCCTCACTTATTCCACAGACAATGATGACGAAGAGGAGGAGGATGGTGACTCCTATCCTTTCTTGGGTAGCTTGAGGAAGCACTCCTATAATAATAGTGATTTAGAGCTTGACAGCTCACCACCCATTGATTCCAGTGTGCACAATCCTTCATTACCTGATCATGACCTCCCACTGTGTGAGAAAGATCTGGCTCTAAGGCAGCATAATGAAGATGATGGACTGGCCTATGACTCCATGAAGTACACGTTAGTGGTCGATGAGAATACAACCCTGGAACTAGTAAGCCTTAGAAGGTATGCATGACAATTTTTTTTTAAACCAAAAATTAGAGCATCAAGTATTGAGCATCTAGTGTTAGTTAGGATTGAACTGTTTTGTCCTTTTAGGTGCACCTCAGTTCTGAGTGACGACAGCGAGCTTTCAACACCATGTGATGGCGAGGCCTTAGGGAGAGACGAGGTCAAATATGTATGTAAAAATGTGGAGGTTAGGCCAGATCTTCTCAGCTCTTCTGAAGACTCATCTCCAGAGGCTGACCTGCCATTTTCCAAGAAGTTCCTTAATGTGTTTGTCAACAGCACCTCCCGTTCTTCCAGTAAGCTGCACACAGTGCCTTTTGCCGCAGTAGTTTATGATATAGTTTATGATGTAGTTTATATCCCTTAATTACTAAGAAAAAACAAAGTAAAAATAAGTTCACATTGAATAAAAAAATAGGATGTGAGCTAAAGACTATATGGACTGCTTGATTGTCTCAAATGTAAAAAGGAACAAAAGAAAGAAAAGCTGACTTCATCAGTATACTAGCTAAAATTACCACCTACTAGCTCTCGTATGAATATACTAATTTAGTGTTTAACATATCTGTCAGCTTATTACAGTACATTAACACAATCTAAATTAGTCAGGGAGCCATACTCAGCCAATGAAAGTAGTCCCCTTGAAGATTAGTCAGTGATCTTGCTGTGAAATTTAATGTCAAATGAAGGTTGATTTGCAAAATGAAAAACTCATTATGAAACCAAAGAAAGTTAAGTCGGGTCCTCTGGACGGTTATTATGAAATGTTTTTGCAATCTTTTAAACTGGCTATGAAATCAGTCAACTTTCAATTAGACTCCATCCATCCATCCATCCATTTTCTTTACCCGTTTGTTCCATTTTGGGTCACGGGGGTCGCTGGTGCCCATGTCCAGCAATCACTGTGCGAGGGGCGGGGGACACCCTGGACGGGTCGCAAGTCCATCACAGGGCCACATAGAGACAAACGAGACAAACAACCATTCACTCTCTCTCTCTCACCTAGGGACAATTTAGAGTTACCAATCAGCCTAACATGCATGTTTTTGGTCTGTGGGAGGAAACCGGAGCACCCGGAGAAAACCCACGCATGCACGGAGAGAACATGCAAACTCCACCCAGAAAGGCCCCTGGACCGGGGTTTGAACCAGGGACCTTCTCACTGAGAGGCAGCAGCTCTACCAGTTGTGCCACCGTGCTGCCTCAATTAGACTCAAGTACAAGAATTCCATTCATTACTAAAGGGTGAACAATAATTAGGAAGCTATAATAAGTGCTTTAATGATACTGATGTAACTTCCCCATTCATATGGCTCAAACTCCATACTTCTGAGGGACAGGCATAGTTGCTCACCACTACACAAATAAGGGGTTGCCACAGGTGAGTTACTGGAAACTATTGATTCCTGCTAGCTCCACCGCTTCAGTCCTCAGGCAGCCTTCAGCTAGCAACAAACTATACAATGGACTAAATTTAGGTTACATTAGGTAAGGTTTATTTATCATATGCAGATCAATACAAAGCCAACAATGCAATGAAATGCTCAGGATGAGAAGAACCATCTCAACTTGCCAAAAAAACAACAAGAAATACCAAAGCATGCAACGAAAATACAAAAACAAGGTGCCAAAAGTGAAAAAGTGAAATACATCTACAGCAGCATGGTCCTATTAGCAAAGTGGTTCTGTTGGCAGTGACGTTCACATGGCTCCGTCAGCACCATGATACTGTTAGGCTGATAAGGAGGAGGGGCGTACTTTTTGCAAGGCATAAATGCATCGTTTTGTGTCTGTATAAATGGTGTATACGCTTTAGATACCTCAAATGATTTATTGGGGAGAACTATTTCCATTTTTCTAAAATTGGGAAGGTTTGGACTCACAATTAGACGCCTTCATGAAAGCATCAGAAACCAAAAAGCTCTAAACAAAGTTGATAAACAAAAGTAACGTCTCTGTCTGTCTCCCACGCAGGCACAGAATCTTTTGGACTTTTCTCGTGTACCATCAGTGGAGAGGAGAGGGACCAGACACATAGGGCAGTTTACAGGTAAGCTTGTTATAGGACACTTTTTCATTTTTAAATTTTAAGAAACCAGTAGTAGCCATTCCACTGACCACAAAAATAGTTTATAAACGATGCAACACATATCAGTTGTTTTCATTGAATACGAAAATTGTGTTTTGAAATTATTTAAATGTAATACATGAGTTCATATTGTCCACTTGGTATTTAGATGGTTAAAGTGTATTTTAGTGTGTTTTGTTTGTGCTGTGGCAGTTGTGTGTGGGTATTGCATCACTAATTATGTTAGAGAGGAAGGCAGATGTCCTGGTTGCAGCTAGGTTTGAGAGATGCAGGGTCACTAACAATAATCAGGTCAGTCACCACCTGCACGCAAACACAAAGCAATGGAAAAAAAAAACAATAATAAGGTAAAAATTGACTAGATTAGGAGTTTATTTTGTGCATCTTTTTTTTAATTGTAAATTAAATTCAGGTTACAGCAGCAGGAAAATAATATTAACAGGAACATTTTCTTTTTTTTGTTCTTCTATTTGGTGCTCTTTGCAGGTTCATTCCCAGACATGCAGATGAGCTGGAGCTGGACGTGGACGACCCTTTGTATGTGGAGGAAGAAGAGGATGACTACTGGTACAGAGGCTATAACATGCGGACAGGAGAGAAAGGGATATTCCCAGGCTTCTATGCTCAGGAGGTCATAGGCCAGTCAAAGGAGTTGCTGGGTGAGTGAAGAAAACATATAATCCACATATTGAATTAAATACAACTGAGAATTTCCTAGCAGTCCCATTTTTTGTCCCACCACCTAGGCCTGAAAAGAAATCCAGCATGGATTGAGACTTTTAATGTTCAGTTTTTGGGGTCTGTTGAGGTACCTTATCATCAAGGCAACGGCATTCTCTGTGCCGCCATGCAAAAGGTAAGAAAAGAGAAAGCATTAAAGCACACATAAAGACAAAAAAAGCATTTATTTTACTCAACAGGAAGCATAAATTGGACCAAATGGCAGGGACCAACACAAACATGTTCTTGTTTTTAGTTTTCTACATTCGCCTTAGAATCTAGCTGTTTTTTTGTTACCTTTTTCTTTTAGCCATCCTATTTGTAAAAAAAAAACAAAAAAAAAACCTGTAGTATGACTTTTTATAATTGTTTATTGTTGTTGCTGTTGTCCATTGTTGTCATCTTTCTTTGTTGAAATCAGGTCTCTCTTGTAAATGAGTCCTCGAGGCTCAATGGGATTACCTGTTTAAATAAAGGTTGAATGAATAAATTGAGGCCTAGTGCATAACAAGAACCCATTTTCTGTCTGTCAGATTGCAATATCGAGGAAACGGACAGTGCATGTGCGACCTCCATCCCTGTGTGAGTTGGAGATCAGCTTGCAAGGTGTGAAGCTAATTATGAGCCTGGAGGATGAATATGACATCCTTGATGAGGTAAAGATGAATCGATAAATAATGCTGATGTAATATTATGCCAGTAGTTCATCTGTGGTTATATTTTCATTTCTATCTGTTTCTTCCCATCTCCAGTTTGACAGATGTAGTCACTTCTTCCAGATGAAAAACATCTCGTTCTGCGGGTGTCATCCGAGGAACAATTGGTGAACAAGCAAACAGATCTTCTGTCCTTCTGTTACATCTGCACGTTACGACATCTGACCGGTTGCATCACATTGTTTTCTTCTCTCTGCAGCTACTTTGGTTTCATCACTAAGCATCCAATGCTGAACAGATTTGCTTGCCATGTGTTTGTATCCCAGGAATCCATGCGGCCTGTGGCTGAGTGTGTCGGGTACGTCCAAATCATAATGTCAATTACTGAAAATGAGATACTGTGTAATGCTGAGAACTCCTGCTTTTCCATCACATTGTTACATTGTATACATTATGTCTTATGTTGAATCAGTTTGGATTAAACAGTGCCTAACTCTGAAGCATCTTCTTCACCTGATGGTGGTGAAGCAAACAAATAAAACTACAGCTCTTATATTCAGCACCAGTTTAGAGACCTCTCTCTAGAAGTGGTTAAAAATGTTCCTTTATTCTGGGAGTAGGGTCAGTTTTATTTTTTCCACCACTTTTTAACAATTAATAATTTACATGACTGTGGAAACTAGAGAAATGAAAACTAGTGAGGACTTGTAGTGTGTAAAACCTTTTGAGGACCTATATGTTTTTGTTTCCTGTATTATTCTTTGTTGTATGTTATGCATGTTTTTGTGAGGTAATACATTGAGCAACTGATTTCCCTTTCCATAATTACAAAGTGTAGAAAGGGACAACTTTATGTTGTTTACTCAGGAACTTTACTTAAGTATATTTTAGATGTACTTTTTCCATATAATTTCAATCAAAATCACCATACTTTATATATCAGTCACTGTAAATCCACAGTCACGAAGACAAAAATGCTAAAGTTAATTAAAAAAAAAAAGATTCCAAATATTAATTTAGGCTTGCTTTCATAACTTTATCTCAAAGTACATTTCTTTTTATTCAAAATATTTGTACCTGTTGTAAAGGTCAGAAAAGGCCTGATTCTTTTACACTCGACTGTGGCTGACTGGTTAGAACTGTCATCCTCCAATGCAAGAGTTGGGGGTTCGATTCCACCAGCAGTCACATGCCAAAGTGTCCCTGGGCAAGACAGTGAACCCCTCACTGCCTCCAATGTGTGTCCCATCAGTGTATGGATGTGATAAAGCATTGATTATTCTTTGTAGAGATCTAGTAGAGTGCCGGGTGAATGAGGCACAGATTGTAGTGTAAAGAGCTTTGAGTATCTTGATTAGATGGAAAGGTGCTATATATATAAGTACAATCTATTATTTTTAAATGTGAGCATCTGTGTGTCAAATTAAATTATTACAGCTGTCATGTATCATTTAGCCATATTGGATTTGAATAATTGAAGATGCAGATAGTTCACTGTCTGTGGGGGTTAAGAGCAGGTGGTGGGGCTTAGTTTGACTGTTTTTCTGACAAATACAAGTTCCGAAGCTGAGGGAATCCTAATCTTTTTCTAAGCTAACAGTATATATAGTGATAAATACCCATTTAAGAATGGCAAAAAAAAGTAAATAATTTGTGAAACGTGGAATCTAAAACTAGTTCACGAGTAAAGCATTAGTTCTAACTTGTCTGTCCTTTTCTTAGTCGAGCCTTCCAGGAGTACTACCAGGAACATCTGGAGTACGCCTGCCCTACTGAGGACATCTACCTGGAGTAAGACAAGCTCCCATGACAACCCTTTTCGTCAACAGCTTGTGTACATTCGTCAAGTTTGCCAGCAGAGGACGCTCTCGGTGTTTTTCTTTTCTCTTTTTCAACGCCATTGTAAAATACTTTTTCTTTCGTACTCAAAACAGGGATTCTCATTTCTACGATGCGCTTTTCACCTCACTGATTATGCTCATCCCTTTTTTCTATGATCTCGATGGATTGATTGCATCTTTCATTTCCTTCTTTCTTTTTCTATATTAAACGACGATGCCGTGTGGCTGTTTATTTTAACAGATCCTCTTCTGTAATGCAAACACACCTACTACGGCTGTTTCACTTCTCAATGCATGGCTAGTAGGGTTAATGCACACAGACGCACCAAGAAATACACATATCCAAGTGAATGGCAACCAGCTCAACAATCAGCAGGTAGGATGGTGTAGAATCAGGTGGCTGGTATTTCAGTTACCTGTAAATATATATACTTTTTTCAGCATTGACAAGCAGCTAATTTGCTACTGACGATGGTATTTGAGTTAACTAGAGAGAACGAGGGGCCCTTTACTCAAGCATCCCCCGTGTCCTGTACGAGACATAGTGTGTGTTGTAAATATGTGTATAGAAAGTAGATGTACATCAGCTTCATTCAAGCTAATGAAGACACCGCTGGGACTGAATTTGTTCTTAGTTTTGATGGTGATAAAACGTGTCTCAGTCTGACAGCACCTGGTGTAGAAGTTAAATAAGCAGTAAAAGTTGACTTGGAATGAACTTATTATGTTATTTCTGCAGATATTCGATTCACTTTGGAGTAGATCCAGTAACTGTTAGAAAATCTCAATGTCAGCATTATTTTTCTTCTGTCCAGTCCTGAAAGTTGCACTGATTGTTGACTTTTACCACGAGTAGCTATCATGCAAATCATGCAGTTCAATTTGTAAACTGCTTTGTTGTAAATGATGGGACTTTTAAGTCAAAGATAACTACGGCCCTCTGACAAGCCATATTCTCACGACTCTTACCGTGTAACTCTGGGCTTCTGTTTGGTTTTAGTCTGGTCTCCACTTTCTTTTGACTTGGACATTTCAATGAGGGAAAAGGATTGACTAGATAGACCAGTGTCACAAAACCTTCTAATTCTTGATCCTGCAGTGAAATCAGCTCTTTAATATAGCATTAAAGCAACAGCTTAGATCTGTTGAAGTGGGTTCTATGGAAAATTTGTGGACAATTAATATCTTACTTGTTGCAGATGACTCTTTGATCAACCAGTTTTTTTAGAAAAGGACAACTGATTTATGAGCTAACCGCTAGTCCGAGCAAGGCCAAGGTAAAGAGAATTGCTGCTGTTTTTAAACAAGTAAGTTTAAAAATGTTTAAAACCAAAAATCTAAAATGAACAATGTTCATGTGAACGTTATTTTGTAAATCTTTAAATTGTTGTCCGTTCTACGTTACACCAGATTTTATGGTCATTTACATGCAAACAGAGGCCTTGGGCACTTCCTGTTGGAATATCATAATTCAATCAAAATACCTGTTGACGGCAGTGTAAAGGTTTTAAACTAGAACATGCCTGAGCTGCTATGAAACCTTGCTTTAAAACACTATTGTTTATAACATTTCCACAGAACCACTCCAGAAGATTTAACCTCTCTTTTAGTGGGAGGTTTCATCATGTAATTGTTTAGACTTCTTATTATGAGTATGGAGGATAAAACGGATGGTAACCTCTTCCTTCATTAGGCTTTTGCTTTGTGGCTTGTAAAAGGTTGAACTAAATAAAAAACAAGTCACAGTGAATTATGGGGTTAATACTGCAGTTCTATGATACAAAAATGCATTGAGACATTCAAAAGTAGATAAAAAAAAAAGAGACTAATCAGAACTTATTCCCAATTGTCGCGATTGTAATTTCACACATTGTGTAGCCATGTGTTCTGCTGCTGTCAGTCTGAATCCACATCATGTTCCATCTGCAGGGTTTCAGTGCTAAACAGCTCACTGGAAGTCGATATGACAGGAACGAGGGGATTACCTACATATTTATCACTGTCAGTTAGATCATGTATATACAATAGCAAATCTAAGTGCTGTGTCATTTATGTTGAGTATGTTGACAAAATGATGTACAATAATTAAAAATTAAAAAAAGATCACAACCAGACTAAAACCCCTGAAAAGAAATATATATACATGACCTGCAATGAGTTTATTATTTATGTTTCTCAAAGAGCTATGTTAAGGCACGAGGTGACATCTTAGTCTGCCATGTTGGTGGTATTTTGGTCCCTGCTGACTCCACAACCTTCACAGACAAGCTTCAGCAGCACATTTAGGGCACATGTGATAGACGTGAGACCCCCACCAAAACCTACTGATCAACGCAGTTAATAGTGACAGTCAGCTGCTACTGGAAAATTGTGTTTTGCTCATTATTGCAATCACCTTTGAGCTCCAACAGTGTGATCCATCTCCGATCTGTAGCGATTTGCTTCCGAATGTTTTTTTTTCTATCTGGTTAAAGTCAAAGTTTAATCCCACTTTTCACAGTTACACAGATACAACCTCAGAGGATGGATTTAGTCCTGTATAGCCGCAGAGAAATACAGTTAAACCGACTTTCAACTTTATTACTTCAACATGATTCTTCACTGTATACCTAGAACAAAACCATATGTGAGAAAACAAAAATAAACTAACATGTATCTTAAAAATGAGGACTTGTAAAAAGAAAAAACTAAAAAAATAATTTAAAAAAATCACTCTGCCTTGTCATGGGTTTGGTCTAATGAATAAATTATATGCTTGATGTCTGAATCATTTTTGTCGTCTTCATTGATCCGTTCAACACTGCTGGACACAAAAGTGCAATCGTTGCATATGTCTGCCCTTACATAGAAACTTTGAGGTGAGAGTGTGGTGCAAGTCAAACGACGATTCAAATATAGTAGTCCCTCGTTTATTGCAGGGGTTACGTTCCGGACCCCCCAGAATAAGCGAAACTCTGCAAAGTAGGAATGCTATATTTATTTTAGTATTTGTATATTTTAACTTTAGAAACACTTCCCATACTCTTGCAATGTTCTCAGCTCTTAAACCTGTACATAATTTTAACTACATACGTATCCTGATGCATGCTCAATAATCCAGGTAGAAAAATCTAAAAAAGTTAAGTCAGGTCCTCTGGACATTCAAAAAACAAAACAAACAAAAAAATACATTGTAGAAACGTTTCTTCTTTCATCCGAAAAACTTCTTCAGTCTGAGTATACGTATACAGTATGTACTGCACAATAGCCACATACTGCAAAATTTTATATGGGCACTAACCAGCCTTGGTCCGGTTCTGGTCCGGTCCTGATCATCTCTCTGCAGCCCTTGAGCACCAAGATGCTTTTAGAAAAAGGCGGACCTTCAGACAGCCAGCACAAAACCACACAGTGGTCCAGAATGAGTCCAAATTCTGATGAAAAAAGTCCCGGTGAGCTCCAGAGAAACAAAACTTTCCCTCCATTTCAGCAGGAGGCAACAGCTGGAAGCACTGCTGGGGCTTCTGGGCGGGGCACTGTTGGGTTCAGGGAAATGTAGTCCTTTCAAGTGGGGATACACAGTATAGGCCTAGTGAGAGAAAACTATAAACTGGCAGCGCCTGTCCCAAGTATTTTTTGGTTAACTTTTTACTGTATCCCGTACTGTACCAATCACATAAATAATATTAAAGTTGATATTCGTGTGTCGTGTACAATCTTATTTTGAAAAACCGCGAAAAAGAGTGAGTTCGCAAAAGTTGAACCGTGAAGTAGCTAGGGACTATTGTAGTCCAATTTAATGAGAAGTTAATGATACAAGAACAAAATCATTTAGAAGATAAGTTGTAAGATTTATTTTAGTACAAAAAGAAGTTCATTTGTTCAAAAGTAAGCATTAATTGATAAAAGCACAACCCTGATTAAGCTGTATTGCTTTTAACCTCCGTTTCAGTGCAGAATGTAGACTTGTCTTCAGGAACGTTTCCCCTCATCAACAGTGGCAGCAGGTGGGTTTGGGGCTACATTCAGGATTGCAGCAAGGCTCAAGATTTGGGTCAGTTCCTCTGGATATCTGGCTCTGGCCAAACACCATGTTAGCTTCGAACTCCGCCTTGACTTTCTTTATCTGCTCCAACACGGCTTGGATGTCGGGTCTGTCTTTGAGCGGAAGGGGGTAACACTCGGAGGGGTCAGCCTCCAGGTCAAAAATGAGAGGGGGGTTATGGGTCTTCAAGACTGCGGTTGCTGGGCAGTCCTGATCTGGGGTGGTAGCACTGTGGATGGCACCTAGTATAAAAACATATTACAAATTATCTCTATAATGTCCTTTAAAGACACTATTTATTTTTTAATACATGGTGACTGGATACTAGTTTCTAACTGTTGTATGTGTAGCAGAGGCCAGCACTAAATGACATTTCATTCAACTGAATGTTGAATGTGTAACCAAAATGACACCACGCAAACAAATGAGAAAAAAACTAGCTCAAAGTATTTAAGCTGCAGCTTCTACTCGCTGTCATATTTTCAACAGCTCCCATTTTTTAAAGCACATTAACACAAAGCAGTGTTTTTGTTAGATATATTTAATGGAAAAACAAGACGTTATAAGAAAACTAACTACAGAGACAGAGTTGGGTGCAGTGCAGCAGCTGCTTGTCTCACAAACAGCAGAAAGTGAAAATGTGTTGTCAGGTGACATAAAGAGCAACTATTTCAATTTGATGACAACTACGCCCTTACAACAGAACAATTAAGCTCTTACTAATGTAAAACTCACCTTTTAATAAGCTTCAGCACACAGAAAATGGATGTTTATACTTTTGATTGGAGTATTAACACTGCACACTGTAATATAAATTACTAAGCTCATTAAACACACTGAAAGAAAACTTACTAATAATAGTGGTATGGCTTCCTTTGTTCTTTTCTGGTACTAATAATAAAGATCGAGCATGCACTGTCTGTTATTATCTTGTGCACGTCTGAATAAAGCTGTGAAAAATTATTAATGATGAACATCCAAAGAGTATTTTATTAGGCTGATGAAGTAAAATATTTTATGTGTGAAAAAGGTCAATAATTGTTCCTTAAATTCATGACAGTCTCTGTGTGAGGTGTGCTACCTCTTGTGTAGAAGTGGGCCTTGTACTTTCCCAGTCTCACAGCAAACAGTCCATACGTTTCTTCCGCAACCATGGGGTAGTACATCATTGCCTTCCTTTTACTCTGGCAAAAACAACAAATAGAAGTCAGCTTGCTGTTTGATTCCAGCCTTTAAAATACACCACGAAGAGTGCTGCTACCTTTCCATGCTTAAAGAGGATATCCATCATATCAAACCCATCCAGCATCACTGAGGGGAGCGCAGCTCCTGCCAGGCCTGCGATGGTAGGGAGGATATCTAAAGTGCTGGCCAGCTCATGAGTCACACCTGAAAGATCCAGCAAGGAAAAGAGCAACAGTGACTAAAATACCACAACAGCATTATATTTTACACAAGACATGAGGTTAAACTGAATTGTTAAAAAAAGCTTGCTTTGTGTAAAACAACAACACTTGCATGGCAAGGCAAAAAAATTAATTACCAATATTTACTTGGGATCCTTATCCAGTTAAGACTGCTTTTGTTCTTACCTGGCTTGATGACACCTTGCCAGTATGCAATGGCGGGCTCTCTCATCCCCCCCTCATATGTTGTTCCTTTGCCACATTTCAGGAGGCCTGAGTTGCCTCCATGTGATTCGCGCATCAGTGATGGTCTACACAGATATGTAAACAACAGGTTTGTACATATTATAAAACCTACGTTTTTGGTTTTTTTTACATTCAGAAGATTCAAAACACTTTTGACATAATTAAGTCATGCATTTTGGTTTGTAAAATTTCTTGAAAATCCTCTGCAGCTTCTGTCTATCATGAAAATATTTGATTTACAGCGGTGCTTGAAAGTTTGTGAAGCCTTTATAATTTTATATATTTCTGCATAAAAATGACCTAAAACATCATCATATTTTCACACAAGTCCTAAAAGTAGACAAAGAGAACCCAGTTAAACAAAAGAGACAAAAATATATATTTGGTCATTTATTTTTTTGAGGAAAATGATTCAACATTACATGTTTGTGAGTGGCAAAAGTATGAGAACCTCTAGGATTAACAGTTAATTTGAAGGTGAGATTAGAGTCAGGTGTTTTCAGTCAATGAGATGATGATCAGGTGTGAGTGGACACCCTGTTTGATTTAAAGAACAGGAGGATCTATCAAAGTCTGCTCTTCACAACATGTTTGTGGAAGTGGATCATGGAACAAACAAAAGGAGATTTCTGAGGACGTGAGTTGTTGATGCTCATCAGACTGGAAAATGTTACAAAACCATCTCTAAAGAGTTTGGACTCCACCAATCCACAGTCACACAGATTGTGTACAAACAGAGGAAATTTAAGACCAGTTACCCTCCCCAGAGTGGTGGACCAACAAAGATCACTCAAGGCGTGGGATCAGTCGGCGAGGTCACAAAGGAGCCCAGGGTAACTTCTAAGCAGCTGAAGGTCTCTCACATTAATGTTAATGTTCATGAGTCCACCATCACTGAACAACAATGGTGTGCATGGCGGGGTTGAAGGAGAAAGACACTGCTCTCCAAAAAGAACATGGCTGCTCGTCTGCAGTTTGCTAAAGATCACGTGGACAAACCAGAAGACTGTTGAAGAATGTTTTGTGGATGGATGAGACAAAAATTGAACTTTTTGGGTTTAAATGAAAAAAGTGTTATGTTTGGAGAAAGGAACACTCTGCATTCCTACATAAGAATCTCATCCCATCTGTGAAACATGGCAGAGGTAGTATCATGGTTTGGGCCTGTTTTGCTGCATCTGGGCCAGGACAGCTTGTCATCATTGATGGAACAATGGATCCTGCATTACATCAGAGAATTCTAAAGGACGATGTCAGGACATCTGTCCATGAACTGAATCTCAAGAGAAGGTGGGTCATGCAGCGACACAATGACTCTAAACACACGAGTGGTTCTACCAAAGAATGATTCAAGAAGAATAAAGTTCATGTTTTGGATTGGCCAAGTCAAAGTCCTGACCTTCATCCAATCCAGATGTTGTGGAAGGACCTGAAGCAGCAGTTAATGTGAGGAAACCACCAACATCCAGAGCTGAAGCTGTTCTGTACAGAGGAATGAGATTAAATTCCTCCAAGTCATTGTGCAGGACTGATCAACAGTTACTGGAAAAGTTTAGTTGCAGTTATTGCTGCACAGCAGGGGTCACACCAGATACTGAAAGAAAAGGTTCACATACTTCAGCCACTCACAAAAAATGTTATATTGGACTTTCCTCAATAAATAAATGACCAAGTGTAATATTTTTGTCTCATTTGTTTATCTGGGTTCTCTTTATCTACTTTTAGGACGTGTGTGACAATCTGATGATGTATTAATATTCATACACAAATATAGAAAATTATAGAGTTCACAAACTTTCAAGCACCACTGTAACTGACCACAGAACAGGTTTGTAATGCTTCACCAGGCTGCTAAAGCAGAAAGTGTGTGACTGCTTTCAAGTTTTCTGTCTTTATGCAACAAACAACTCAACACTATTGACTGCAAGGCGACTAACTCAGACAGTACAAAAAACATTTTTCTTGGACTACAGTACGCCAAGTTAACCTTTACAATATGTTTCAAGTCAATCTCTTATTAAACAATGAAAAACTAGCCAGTGTAGTGACGTTTTGTTGAGTGTGAGCAGGAACCGTCTTCCTGCAAACTAGACATGACTCGGTGCCAGTAAAAGTCATGCGTGTCAGTCGCATGACACCATCTAAAGAATGTTGCTCAAGAACTGGGCCATATTTTTTACATGCTTCTAGACCATCTCAGACTTCTCAGTCTTGAGGCAATGCACTTTGTAATGTCCATATTTTCTCCTTCTTAATATATTTGTCACATTTCTTCATCAAACACCAGCCAGAGCTAAACATTTTGTATCCAAAGAATTTTAAACTAAATCCTGAAATTGTTGAATCCTCGTCTCAAAGTAAAGTTAAACAACTGACATTTATACATCTACAAAATGTTAAATATTCCTGTGCCTATGCAAATGCAATATATTAAATTTACTTAGAACAGAGAAAAAATAAACAAGCCAGCTTCTCTACTTTTTAAAGAAGATTCAATGTCTGCATAAGAGATCAAGCTAAAAAAGTCCACATTCTATTATACAATTTTGTGATCTACAATCTTTTTCAAACTATTCTTGTCATAGTTAACTAACCCATTGTCAGATGCAAATAATACAAGTGTATTATTGATCACTCCTGTCTGTTCCAGCGTTGACATCAGGTTTCCTATAGTGTTGTCCAATTCCAACAAGGAATCTCCAAATGGTCCCCTTAAAGAGCGACCTGCTGCTCCTGAACCTGCAAACTGTGGATAGTGGGTGTGCTGTAGGAAAGAAAGAGGAAAAAAAGGTTTACTCGCAGTACAGTGTGACACAATCTCACAAATGCTTAAAAATGTTTGCTGTTAAACGGACTGTTTCCGACATTTTATGTTGCTTACATGTGATGGATAGTAGAGAAAAAAGGGCTGCTTTTTCTTGGCCGAGTCGATTATGAAATTGGTTCCGAAGTTACTGTACGCCTTTTCCAGCTCTAGGAAGTTGGCTGGTTGCTGTATGATGTTCTCATTGTGTATGAGTGGGACAGTCACAGCACCGACATCACAAAATCCAAAACACTTGATATCTGGGGGAAAACAAGTCAGGTTATGGCAGGGCCCCTGTGGAAGAAACAAGAGATGATTTAGAGACAATCCAAAAGGAAATTTTTAACACATCCCACACTGACCTGGTCATGAGAGTATGGGATTCCCAGGTAATGATCAAATCCTTGTTTGGTTGGAAGAAACTTCCTTGTTTCCCCATATCCTAAGTGCCATTTCCCCACAATGGCGGTGGAATAACCCTGAGCTTTCAACACCTCGGCGATGGTGGTCTCATTCAGAGGAAGACCCCCAATGGAGCCTGGGTAAAGCACACCTGGGTAGATACCGGAGCGGGTCTGATAACGACCTGTCAGCAACGACGCCCTGAGAAACAATGAACACCAATTAGACAAGTAATTTACCTGTGAACACGCCCAAAACTGTATTTTGAAAACATAGGAAGATAGCCTGTAAAACAGCAGGTGTTTTTTTTAAGCACTTATTTAATTCAACAATTTTCAGTCAGGTCATCTGGACAATTTTTTTTTTTTGGGTGCTGAAACATTTCACCTTCCATCCAGAAGGCTTCATCAGTCAAGGAAACACACAACACAAAACTGATTCTTCCCTCAAACAGCTTACTCCAAAGTGGAACAAACCAGTTATGTTGGTGCTAAGATGGTCTCTTTGGCACGCCCCCTCCTCCGATGCTGGCCCTCTTCCTTGATGACAGTCATTTCAAACTGGTTCAAAACCAACAACGTCTATGTTCAATAATCCAGGTATACAACCAATAATTTTCAGTCAGGTCAATTGTTGGATTGTATACCTGGATTACTGAGCATAGACGTTGTAGTGATGGGTCCAGCAACACCGATGCGTCGGCGCATGCGTCGAGCTCATAGAGCAAAACCCGTGTCGGTGCACGTATCGCTATTAGAAAGTCACGTGACCGATACAGGAGCTGTTTCAAACTGACACTGACTCACCAAACTGTGTTTATAAGCGCATCTGCCAAAATAATATTTGCTCTTTTGCTGGTCATCTTTAAATGTATCAAGAATTATGAAGCAGCCTCAAACCCAAAGAAAGGTTTCTGTCGTGTGGGACCATTTTGATCTCATATTGGAAAATAAGCTATTTGTTTTAATTTACTTGCTGTTGTATCCTGTTCTTAGAGTTTCCACTTGATCTATCTGAATTCAAAATCATTTCAAAGTCACTCTTAGTTTACTATTCACATTATTTCCTGCAGGTTAATTGTCGCATTTGTTCGACAGAACTTTCATATTTAAATAAATCCACCTCCTCAATGCCGAAGCCTACTCTTGCACAGCTCCCCGAGCCACATGCGGCTCGCCATGCTTTATGTATGGTGGCTCTCGTGACAGGTTACAATACACCAGCACAGTCAATACATTTTTAAAACGTGCTGGCGCATTGCGCAATAATTGTGCATGTGAGCTCGGGCTTCTATGATGCGGTTTCACAAATCATACAGCGCAAAGAGAACTAAATAAAAACGCACAATATAAAATTGTGTTAATCTACTTGTTGAGGAGGAGGCAGGTCAAACCGGCCAGTAGAGGTAAAAAAAAAAAAATCCTGTCAATCTCAGATGGATCAGCTGATCATTACCAGCAGCGCGCGCCTCTGCACCTTCTATCATCTGTAGTGAAGGAAGTAGCAGAATTACAGGGCCGGTTCTAGGCATGGCTACATGAGGTGGCAGGTGGAACTGTGAAGCATCTTCATCCATATACACATATTACAGCATATTCATTGTTGAGCATGGACTTTGGTATTTATTGTTCTTGTTGACTCGTGTTCTCTTCAAGGGACTGGGGTAACAGATAAAAGCTGAAATGTTTACACCTGTGAGTCAACATTTTCAACCATGAACACTATCAAAAACAGAAAAACCGACTGACTCCTCTTGAATGTCTCACTGTGGCTGCAACAACAAATTACAAATACAACATGAAGAAAGTCAAGGACATGCACCACAGCTTCTCATCTCAGTACTAATGTACATTTTGTTTAAACAGATAATGTGCTGCCTGTGTTTCTTTTTTGTTCATAGGTGGGTGGTTCAAATTTTTTTTCTTTGAGTGACTTGGGGTGATATTGTGGCTCTCTCCTTGACTTTGATCTGTCAATATGGATCTTTTGGGAAAAATAAATAAATAAATAAATAGTGAGGATCACTGTGTTATTGGGCCAGGCATGAGAATGAAGTCCCATATACATCCAGGGTAAACTCAGGTGGTATACCGCGTGGTATACAACCATTCTATAACTTACTCACAGTTGCTTTATTGATAATTAATTCCTATTAATTTATTCTTTATCTCATTTCTAACCATCAAGCTTCCAGGAAGCAGATGCTGGATGAGGCTCTCCTGAATTTCATCCTGAAGGACTGCCAGCCAAACTTATTTTTTTAGAATAAAAATTTGTAAAAACAAAAAAAAACCAATCCCAGTCCACAAGCATCCTCATTCACAACACGTTCACTTATAATTTCAAGTTATGATACATGTTCACATTATTTATTGACTGTATCTATAAATATCAAACATATTTTAAATTTACATGAAAATATGAAATATGATAAAATACAATGACTTAAATCATATTATTGTATAGGTCATCAAACCAGTGTCAGTTGAGTGTTAAGTTCCAGCACCGTATCGATGCAGTATCGATACAGTTTGGTAATGTGTTGAAACATAGATATCGTGACGTCTCATCGACCCGTCACTAAGACGTTATTGGTTCACTTATTCAATTCTTTTTTTTTTTTTTTCCAATTCTAACGATGTTTAAGTTAACGCAGTCATTAATTCTATATAAAATGTTTTGCTACAGTCACGGTCGGTCATATTTAGCACGGCTGGATACCTGGACGGGCTGCAGACCGGAGAAGTGCTATAAAAATCCGTAAAGCGGAGTCCTTCCACTGCCAGGCGGTCCAGGTTACGAGTGAGAGAACTGGGATGTCCGTAACAGCCCAAGTCCCCGAAACCCAAATCATCTGCGAAGAGAAGAACGAAGTTCGGTTTTGAAGCCGAACAAGCGCCAAACGCACACAAAATCAAACAAGCAAAGCGTCTGTAGCTCATTTCGAACCGTCTTTCGCCACAGAAACAAGACACTTCAGTTAACCGACATCTTCAAAGAAACACGACGAGCGATGCTGCATTTATGGTCCCTCGGAAAAGAAACAGAACAACTCAAAATCGCGTAATTAATTAATTTTGTTCAACCTAATTTCCGCACAAAAAATATAAATGACTCCAAATTTGCTTACAGGGAATTTCCAAGTGTAACTTAGCTTGTCCGACTGAGGAAAAATAACAATTAAATGTGCTCCAACTTTCCTATATCTATAAAGATAGAAACGAGAGTAACAACTTGTTTAGCATTATATGCTTTTTGAGAAAATTACACAAAATACTCAAATCATTGTTGTAAGTATTTTTCGTGTTGCGACGGAGAAAACCCTTTTTTAGAATCACATCTTTCTCAAGGTAAAGCCCAAAAACCAATGTCCATGAATGCAGCATGAGTTGAGTCACGAGTTTGTTGACGGAAGTTGTTGATGTCGAGGGAAAATGACGTCATAACCAATCTGAAAATGTAGTTTTTTAATGTTTGACTTAAAATGTATGTTAATAAATTGTGTCATTTATACTTATTATATTTGTAATTAATTAATTAATTCTACTTTTGACATCTGTGATGTTATTCTCTGTCATGTCATGAACACTTTCCACTAATCTCTGTGTAATTTTCATGCAGCTTTGCACAAAAGTTTTTTTTTCTTCTTTACATTATTATTTTACCCTATAATAAATTATCATTCTGGGAATTTCTTTTCTTTCTTTTTTTTTTTTTTTGTAGACGTTACTTTTTCTACTTTTTGTTGCACCTCTAATACAGTCAGTCCTGAACTGAGTTCTGTTATGCCTCAAGGATTTCTTTGTTTTTTTCCTTCCAGGTCCTAGAATCATCTAAAAATAACTTTAAATCTATTTTAAAAATATATTATTTTTCTTGCTCTTTAGTCTCCATGCGCTCCATGGACTTCAACACATCCTCTCTTGTGTTAATCTTTTATGTTTTATCTCTGATATGTAACCATGCTGAACTTGGCCGGGTATTAATCTAGCTCTGTCCAAGTAAATGTCAACCTGTCAGTTCGTCTTTTGTTCTTCTTATGGTTAGTACTTTGCGTTGTGCTTAATGATGACCAGAAGACGAGTGTAGAACTGAATGCTTTTTAATCTGCATGGAACAAGAGGAACTGGTCAGAATCATAAGCTCATCACAGTGGATATGCAGCACCTTACGAGGAATAGAATTGTACATTGGCATCAAATTAGCTGATATTTTCTGGTGTGGAGTAGTCAAATAAAATTATATCAACTCATAAAATGTACATTATGAATCTCCTCATTGTCCTGATTTACATAAGTATATCTTACAGTTAGTCAGTGATCATATAATGGACAATAATCAACAATGCAGCATATTTTGGATGGCATTAATTTGGCCTCCAGCTCCAATGTTAAAAATCTTGGTGTTATTTTTGATCAGGACAACCCCCACATTAAAAACTTTACCAGAACAGCTTTTCCCCACCTGCATAATATCACTAAACATTATGAAACATCTTGTCTAAAAATGATGCAGAAAAACTAGTTCATGCTTTTATAACGTCTAGACTGGACTGTTGCAATGGTTTGTTATCTGGGTGTCCAAATACTTAAAAAAAAATCTCAAGTTTATCCAAAATGCTGCTGCCAGAGTTTTAACTAGTTGGTAAGAAAGATCATATCTCTCCAGTTTTATCTTCTCTCCATTGGCTCCCTGTCAAGTCCAGAATAGAATCCAAAATCTTACTTCTAACAAAGCTCTCAACAACCTAGCCTCATATGCAAATCTTATTGTTCCATATTTTCCTAACAGAGCATTTTGCTCTCAGACTGCAGGTTTACTTGCTGTTCCTAAAGTTTCCAGAAGCAGAATGAAAGGAAGATCTTTCAGTTATCAGGCTCCTCTCTTGTGGAACCAACTTCCAGTTTTTATCCGTAAGGCTGACACATTGTCCAGTTTTAAGACTGGGCTTAAGACGTTCTTTTTTGATAAATCCTATAGTTAGGGTTGGCTTGTTAGGCTTAGAGTACCGGATGACAAATTGACCTTGTTTCATCAAATTAATAGTTTACATTTGAAATTATTTCTATCTTAACATGCTCGCCTCCATTCTGTTTCTGTCATTGTGTATCTGTTCTTCCTTTCTGTCCTCTCAAACCCAGCCGGTCGAAGCATACGACCACTTGTCCTGAGACTGGTTCTGCTTGAGATTTCTTCGCATGAGGAAGTTTTTACTTTCCACTGTTGCCTTTGTGCTTGCTCAGGATGGGAGACTGTAACAAATTTAAGACTCAAAGCAGCATGCTCCTTAGATAAGTAATGTTATTAACTGCCTTTTTAAAAAATATATATATGAACGTTTCTGTTCAGTACCCTGAGATGACTTCTGTTGTGACTTGGCGCAATATACTTTGTAAACTGAACTGAATTGAATTTTACCACAGTGCTAATATTACTGAACTTACCTCGTGCCAGGGCCGGAGTAGGACACTGGTGGGTGGTCTGGGGGTTCTCCCCCAGAAATTTTTGAAAAATGTAGATGCCATTTCCTGCATTCTGGTGAATTTTAATGGGCTGTTTAACATTTAGTTTTGTCTACATAAGTAACACTTGATTCAATAACTATTTTAGAGTTAATGGTGCAACAAGAAGTAGCCTGACCAACAGCTCTCCTTGTGTGAATAGAGCACACTCCGCTTCTCTCAAGCATCCTAGCCACAGTCTAAGAAACATACCGTAGTGTAGCCTAAGTTAACTTTTAGGGAAAAAAAATCACTAGTCAATATGAAACAACAATAATAGTAATAAGCATTCCTTCTTACCAATGGCCTAGCATAAAGCAATATGATCATCATCCATCCTGTTTATGAGTAGCTTAAAATGCCGAATTAAAACTCCAGTAATCGGCTAGGTCTACTGTAATCTTACCCAGTTGTAGGGTAATCTGCTACATGATGATAACAAACAAAAAGAAGATACATATTGGACATTTTTTATTATATGAACAACCTTTAAAAATGGTTGTGAATTTAAATATCTAGGTTTATGGTTAGACAGGTGATACACATGGCAAATACATTTAAAACAGGTGGAAACAAAGTGTAAGAAAGTAATTAATCTAATGAAAGCAGTGGCAGGAAACAACTGGGGCGCAGATAAACAATCACTTTAAATATTTACAGAGCTCTAATGAGATCGACTTTGGACTATGGATGCATAGTGTATGGAGCAGCAGCAAACCTGTTGGGAATATAACAAATATCAAAGAAATGGTTTTGGTCGGAAAATAAACAAATTAGCTGGATTATATGGAATAGAAAATAAAGAATTTGCACAGATTAGTCCAAATAGTGTTATTTCTCCATGGTTAATTCCAGAAAGTAAAGTAGACATGAAAATTCTTGAAATGAAAAGAAAATGGAACGAAAATGAAATTGGGGTGAAAACCAGCAAATACATTAGAGAGACATATTTTAATTACCTGGAAATGTGTACAGATGGCTCAAAGAACACAAAGGGGTGGGTAGGAATAGGGGTTTATATTCCAGAGTTTGAAGTTTGTATATCTAAAAGAATTTCTGATCAACTTTCTGTTTTCACAGCAGAAATGGTGGCAGTAATATTTAGTTTACATTGGACAGAGGAAGTTAGACCGGACAGGGTGGTGATATGCACCAACTCAAAGGCTGTCATAGAAAGCATACAGTCTAAAGGAAACAACAAGAAATATCTACTTCTAGAAATACAACTCACATTATTCAGTTTACACAGGGGAAGTATGGACGTTCATTTTTGTTGGGTGCCAGCACACGAGGTGGTGGAAGGAAATGAAATAGCAGATAAACTCGCTAAAAAAAGCATTAAAAGGTGAAATAACAGTAAATATTCCATTAGGGAAAGGAGAGGGTAAATCATTAATTAAAGGAAAAGCAATAGAGAAATGGCAGAAAACGTGGAATGAGGACAAGAAAGGAAGAAGATTATATAAAATTTAAAAGGCAGTTAAGATAAATAATTATAGAGAAAGAAGTAGAAGAGAAGAGGTGATAGTAATTAGAATGAGGGTTCTACCATCCTGAGACTTTCTCTCTTGAAGATTTATGTGAAAGAACACTCTCTTTTTTATTATCATTACTATTTTACAAATGTTGATAATCAAAATGTCTTAGTTCAAACCATTTTAGATGTTGCAGTGAACTAATCAATTTTATTAACTGTGTAATGATTTTTCTCATGCAAAGTTAGAATTCATGTTGAGGTCTGTTACAGATTTTTATGCATTTTCTGATTTCTGCCTTTGAATGAGCAAGTGTAAGTTGGTCCAAGGTTTTAGTCAAACGCAAAACAAGTTGTTGGAATGAACTGTCATGTTTTTAGAATCCTCTCAGACATAAATATAGAGGTTTTTGCACCTGTTTCTGAAACGCGCCAAAACAAAACTCTCTCTGTCTGTGAGAACATTTCTGATCTTTTCATAACAATTCTTGCTGCATTCTAACCTTTTACGTCACAAAACACACCCCGTCTGGTCGGTTCTGGCCAATGGGAATACTCCCAGATGGACGGAAAAACAGCTCTTTAAAATGTCAGTACTTCCTGGTTTACTCAGCTCTGCTCGAGTTCTGTAAACTACACAGTTCTGTTAGAAGTTCTGGGATGGTGCTGGAACGGTTCTGGGACAGTTCTGTGCAGTTCTGATGGAGTGCTGTTGGAGTTCTGCTGGATACACAGTCCAACCAGTTCTGTGAGAGACGGGATGATCCTGACATGACAACAGAGCTCTTCCGAGGTTCATGGGATTATAACATTTTCCACTGAGGTGAGCTTGTGTCGGACAGTCTCGCCGCTACTCCGGAGGAGTAACAGCATCCTACGGAGACGCTGAAGGGTGCGTTAAACGGAATCTCGCCTGAGACATCTCCAGGTAAAAGAGTCGATTTTACCACCGAAGTGTACCGTAAGGAAAGCTGAAGAAAGCCCAGAGAGTGCCGTTCTGTTAACACACTCCCTCAAACCCCAT